CCCGTGCCTCTGGCCAGTTTGGAGGTGAGACGCCAGAGCCAGGCAGACCACAGTAACTGCTCCTCTGGCTGGTGCCTTGGCACAAGCAGCTGTACTGTTCCCTCCTCTCCTGTCACTACAGCTGGTGCAGGGGCTGCAGCTGCCTCTCTGCTCCCAGCCCCCTTTACTCTCACAGCCAGTAAGAGACATGGGGTGGGGGACCCAGCTTCATGTCTGGCAGAGTCGTCAGGAAACCGTGGGACCACAAAGCTCTCCTGGCACACAGACTCTAGATACCCCTTCTATAAACCCTGAAGTATTCTCCTGTCTGCACACAGCCCCTAGCTCCCCTTGTCTACCACAGCCCCTAGAAACCCTGCCTCCTGAGCAAACCCTAGGCCACTCACGGTCCCTAGTAGTCCCTAACTGCCCCCTCCCGACCCTTTGGACTGTTCCTAGCTCCTCCCTCTGATGAGGTAAACACAAACAGGATTGGGTTTTCCTCCCTACCATGTGAAACTTTGGATACGCAGTGCGGATTTCTATACTAAGTGATTGAGACACCTTTTCTGAGTGAAAAGCTTGTTGGGCTGTGTGCAGACAATACCAATAGAAATGTTGGTGGTGCTAAATGTGCTTGGAAAAACAATGTATGGTGAAAACTGCAAGTCAAACTATGGGGAGAGATCTTTGGTTTTGTGTTGCAGCGCTCACCTCAGCACTGCAGACAGCAAACAGCAGCTGACTGTCTTCCAATTGTTTCTGGTGTCCCTTTCCCGTGCAAGTGTATAAATACAGAGGATGGGAGGAGTGGAGAAGGGGGTTCAGAGCATGGGTTGTGCAGGAATCAGGACGAGGGGCTCAGGGTGGGAGGATTCCAGGGCTGCACATGGGGGTGAGGGTGTTGCTGCTCCAACTGTGGCTTCTTCTGGAGTGGAAAGCAGTGGTGGCTCATCCCAGGGGCCTGGGGCTGCACTGCCCAGTCCCCCCAGCCAGTAATTCCTAGAGGGGGGTCTGTCTGGATGCCTGGCCGGCCAATGGCTGCTGGGGGGGTCTCCATCTCCCCCAGCAGGCCAGCAATCCCATCCCCCAGCAATCCCTTTGGGGGAAGACCTGGGACTAAGTGCCCACCCTTGGCCTCTACTCTCAGTGGAGGGGTTTGCACTGTCCAGCCCTGTGGTGGGTCCCAGGGGAGCCACAGCAGTGGAACTAGTAGTCAGCAGGACTCCCCTCCTCAATGGCTGCTGGGGGGGTCTCCATCTCCCCCAGCAGGCCAGCAATCCCATCCCCCAGCAATCCCTTTGGGGGAAGACCTGGGACTAAGTGCCCACCCTTGGCCTCTACTCTCAGTGGAGGGGTTTGCACTGTCCAGCCCTGTGGTGGGTCCCAGGGGAGCCACAGCAGTGGAACTAGTAGTCAGCAGGACTCCCCTCCTCCCCCATCTGGCACTGCAGTCAAGGCTGGGGGTGGGTAGAGTAGAGGGGACACTTACCTGTTGCAATGACCTGCAAGATGGTGAGCCCTGGACCCATCTGGCCACTGTCTTGCTGTGCAATTGCCCCCAGTGGTCACTCTGCAGTAGCTCTTCTCCTATCAGCTCCCAATTTTTCATATTATGGAAGACAATAGAAGTCCAGGCACATTCCCTTTTCCTGGCCTTGTTTTAAGCTAGGATAAGAGGAAGATGAATACCAAGTTTGGTGGTCTTAGCTCTTACTATTTAGGAGGAGTTCTTGAACGAATGGAGTCATGGACAGACAGGCAGACGGATGCACATTTCTAAAATATAGAGACAGATAATAATGCCGTGTGTCTTTTAATGGGGGCTCAATCAACTTAATGCTGTTTTGAACATTTGTACTGCACAGTTCTGACTGATTGCTGTTGAACTCAAATCAGAGCAATTTATCGGTTGTCCTGTAGTTGCCTTAGGGAAATATGGTAACCCTAGACCTATCCCTTGGTACTCTTCCCATTTCATTCTAAACCTATCCAGCAAATAGATCCAATCATGTCTTCTATCTATTTAACAAGGGTGGCAGCATAGCCATAGTTGCTATAGGCAGAGTACAGCTACTGCAATCAATTTTATCTACTGGCTATATTGATTTGCCTCCAGAGAACTCTGAGGTATGGGCTGATGAAGTCACTTTCTGTTGCCATGTATGGCACCAGCCAAAGTTTGTCCTTATATGGGATAGCACTACAGCAGAGGGCAAAGCACCGTGTCCATTAATTGTCAAACACTGACCTTAAGCACAAAAGCAAAACTATCATCTTCACTTAATTTGAAAGATTTTCCCTTCCTCTACTTATTTAATACATTGGCTACTTTTGTTTAATAGACAAAGTTTCTGAACAATGGCCCAGATTGTGATCAGTTTCTAAAAAGACTGTCATGGTGAGAGGAAGTACTATATGTTAATGCCTGTGGCACATTTGCAATAGCATGCTAGAATTCACAAAACTAATAAATAAGCCTAAACAGCCCTTAATTACTGTTTATTAAAAAATAAGCACTGGCATGTAATTTACCAGTACCATATTTGCCAAACAAGCTTACGCAATGCAATAAAGCTGAAAATTTTTCCTGTGGCAAATTTATTTTATTTTACCAAATATAGCTGCATTTGAAAAAAAGAACATTCCTTGCTCTGTAATCTGATTATATTAAAGTTTTATTTGGGGAATGAGAAATTCACCGGGCAACTGAGATACAACATATTTTTCTGTACTTCCCATCACAAATGGCAGCAAATGTATCCACAAACATTAAAGCCAGGAACAGGTAACACATTCAATAAACTTTACATATTGCTACAAAACTCTGCAAGTTGCTGCAAGGCTTTCAAGGAGTCTAAATGTCAGTATAGTTCTTAGTGTAGTTAGTAAGTTTGATCTTCTCTGGGAAAATTATGTTAACTGAAAGGTTTTCCCCATTGTTAGATTGAAGAAAACAATTCTTCTTCTTGCGTAGGAGATGGCTATATTTGGCATTAGCAAGCCATATTTCACATTTGGAGAAAAATACAATTGCAGTTGTACCCAACACAACAAGACATGTAAGCAAGCCCAGAACAATGAAGCATATCAATTGACTTTTATTAAGCAAGGGCTCTGTGTTTTGGATTGTTTCTTTCATTGTTATTTTCAAGACTTTATGTTCTTGGTGATGAGCTGACTTGGGATGAGCATTTGGGGGTAGATTATACCTCTGCCCAGTTTTGGCCTCTGTATTCATGCCATGGAGACTTGTGTTTCTGCTGGGATAGGTACAGGTCACACCAACAAATTCTGGCTTACAAAGACATTCAAATCTTCCTCCAGGATGCTCATGACATGTTCCTCCATTCTCACATGGGCTGCTAGCACAGAATAGGACATGGCTGTTGCAGGACTGGCCCATATAGCCAATAGGGCAATGGCAGTTGAAGCCTCTACCAATATCCGTGCATGTTCCTCCATTGTCACATGGGTTGGGTTCACAGTCATCTATATCTATTTCACAAAAATTGCCAGAAAAACTTGGAAGGCACAAACAGGAGGCATGAGCTGAAAATCCATTATCATCAACACATGTTCCCCCATTCTGACAGGGAGAGCTGGAACACAAGACAAAAACAGATAGGAGTTTAAAGAACATTTAAGTGCAATAAGCAACATTTCAGATAATTTCAAAGGGGTTATTTTCTTTACTAGGTAATGAGCCACATCAATTTCTGATGGACTGCCACTGACATCAATGGAGTTGCATCAAGAATGAATGTTGTGCAGCATCTTAATCAATATACACTGTTCCGCTAATGCTGCCATGTTGATTACAATCTCTTCCACAAATCCTAATGCACAAATCCTACCTGAAAAACTGCTTTTGAAATTAAGCTTCCCAGTGTGTTAGATCTAGTGACCTGAAGAATGAACAAAGATTTCACCAACGTGGCTTTATTTTTCCTTGCTATATGGTCAAAATACATAGGCATTAAATAGTCAATATAAAACATCAACAAGCATAACAGTCTGATGTGGAGACATTTATTTTTATTGTATGTCAATAGCATTGTCATGGTCTGTCCTTTTGAAAGCCTAGAAAAATTCTGGGCACTTTGAAACCTCAAAACACTGAAAAGAATACAAACATTTCCCTTATTATTTGAATACATTAAGTAAGAATAAATATGATTACTTTTGACAAAAGTAATCATATTCAATCAAAATCATTATTTCAAAGGAAATGGGGTGGCAGTAGCTCAGGAAAACAGAAACAGGGATATGAACCTCTTCACATTTAGCCCTGGGCTTTATTTTGAAATAACCCTCCTTAAGCTGAATTTATAAGTGGAGCGTCCACATCACCAAAGCTGTTATTTCAAAATAAAAGGCTACTTATTTTTAAATCTGTACTCTTGCTTTTCTCAAAATAGCATTAGTAAAGATGCTAAGGTGCTGCTATTTCAAAATAACTACCCCCCAGAGTAATTCAAACTAATTACTCCCCTGTGCTTGCTGGGGCTCTAAGGCTAGGTCTACACTATCACTGTTTTTCAGAAAAAGCAATGCAAATTGCATATCACAATTTGTGTAGCATTTTCCAATTGCTTTTCCAAAGGAGGCTTTTCTACCATTTGGCCCTGTCTAGATGGCACCAAATGGCAGAAGAGCCTCCTCTTTTAGAGGAGCCCTTATTCCTCATAAAATGAGGTATAGAGGGCTCCCCAAAATAGTGTGTTTGCTCTTCTGAAAAAAAAAGCAGAAGAGCAAACGTGTTCCCTGGATGCAGCGGAGTTTTTCCGGGATACCTCTAGTATTCTGGAAAACCCCACCAGTCTGTACGTACTCTAAGTTGAGGTAGTGCATCCACATTAATGGCACCTGCCTTGGACTAATTTCAAGGCTTTTCCATGGTGGGGACACACTATATTGATTTTGTAAAATCAGGAGTTAAGGCAAATTTAAGTCCCAAATTTGACGTCAGTAGTGTCTATCTCTTGGTTAGTTGGTTGGTTGCTTGTGTGAAATTACATGATTCCAACAGGTTCCCAGATGATATAGTTATCATCAAGGAAGATGAAGAGAAGCTAGCGAGAGCAGTGCAGGTGCTAAATGAGGAAGGGAAGCAGTATGGACTGATTATGAATATCGATAAAACAAAGAAAATGGTATTTGGAGATAAGGAAATAGGAGGATCAATGTGGATACTAGAGAACGTAGAGAAGTTCACGTATTTGGGGAGCAGGATGATGTATGATCTAGACTGTAAGAAGGAAATAGTGACTAGAATAGCGAAAGAAAGAGTGAGTTTGAAGGCAATGGATAAGATCTGGAAAAGTAAAGCGATTAGCTTAGGAACGAAGCTGAGCATCTTCAAAACCTGTGTATTTAGCAGTATGTTGTACGGATGTGAGACATGGGTGACAACGAAAGATTCAAAGAGAAGGATATTGGCCTTCGTGATGAGTTGTTATAGAAAGATCCTGAGAACAGGATGGATGCAAAAGGTCACCAATGAGGAATTATCTAGGAAGATACAGCCAAAAGAGAACCTACTGCAGAAGGTTATAAAATGGAAGTTACAGCTATTTGGGCATATCTGCAGAATGAACTACAAGCGGAAAGTTAAGACCCTGGTATTCGCCATAATGGATGGTCCGAATAAGAGAGACAGACCCCATAGAAAATGGGTAGATGATATAGTAGATTGGTGCAGAGCTAGTCTACAGAAACTAAGCCACTCCGCACTGGACAGGGAAAGATGGAAGGAAATAGTGAGGGAGGCATCGGACACCAACAGGCATTGATCCCATGGTTGTTGTTGATGATGATGATGATGAATTCCTACTAGAGAAATGTTCACAGTGAAAAAGCCAGCCTCGTTTACATCCTCCTCGATTGTCTTCATGGAAAAGCCAAGGGACTAGGAAAATGAATAATACTCTCAGTTCTAGAGGGGCTTCATTCACAACAGTGCGCAAGAAGTTACAGGTTGTTTTGTTACACCATTTCTGTGGAAGGGAAGAGGACATCATCCTTCAGGAATATCAATTCAGCTTCTTTCATTGGTATTAAATTAACTCAAAAACTATTAGAGGAACATTGTACTTAGTACAAGCTCAGAGCACCCAGCAGAACTAGGGTGGCAGCAAGTTAAAGGAAAGTAATGGGGAAGGAGTGCAAAACCAGAGCTATGAGCTACTCAGATTGATTCAATATAACACTGAAAATATTTATGGTGATCTTGTTTCAGGAATTTTTCTTCCAGAAATATTTGTATTTGCTGATACCCAATGTAACCCTGAACATCAGGAAATGAATATTTTATTACTTAACTTAGAATGGTTTGTAAGTAAGTTAATAATAGGGAAATGAATATGTTATTACTTACAAACCATTCTAAGTTAAGTAAGTTAATTTAGAAATGTTAATACAGAGGCCTAAATGTGCCAAGAACCTGGCTATGGTAAAATACTGTTAGTATGTAGGCAAGAGTACCAGGAGGCCTTGCAAAAGTTGTCAGAAAAACAACAGGTATTCCTAGTAGCTACAATATTAATTGAATTAATATTACAAGTTGAATTGCTTATAGAATGAACAGAAGCTGAAGCATCTGACCTAGTTTTACAACTGCTTAAGATTGTTTTGTGCCTTGGAGTTGGTTATTGTGATGGGGTGGATATGCCCCACACTAGGGGGGAGGGAAGCTAAGTGTGACGGGGCAGATATTCCCCACACTGGGCGGGGGGAGCGGGGAGGAGCTAAGACTCTGTGGGCAGAGGAAGTCCCACCCTTCTTTCCAGACTGGGCGTGCTCTAGCAGCTGGAGCTGTATAAAAGCCAGGGAAGCAGCTCAGTCTGGAGGGACCACCAGCAGGGAAGGAGCTCAGGCCAGAGCTGCTGAACATTCCCTGTCGCAGCCGCCCCAGGAGCTGCAGTCCAGGGAGCCACCGCTGCAGCTATAGCAGCCCCAGCCCAGGAAGCAGCCACCGCAGCCTCAGTGATAGCCCTGACACCAGGGACGGTAGGAAGTGGCCCAGGGCGGAGGTTTGTCCCTCCAGGAGCTCAGTGTGTTTTGGCAGGATGCCCCACTGAGCAGGTAGTGGAAACGTCCATTGCCAACAGAGCCCTGGGTTGGGACCCGGTGGAGTGGGAGGGCCCTGGTCCCCCTACCACCCTGCCCCACAACTCTTGCCTTTCTGACAGCCAAGGGAGACTCACCAGAGGCGTAGGGCCTCCAGGCCAGAGAGCCTTCCAGAGGGAAACCACGGAGCTTTTTGGACTAAGCCTGTAGGGCCATATATACCCTAAAAGAAGGAACAGTGTTTCTTGGACTAAGACAGCGTTTCCCAAACTATGGGCAGCACCCCGGTACAGGTCTGCAGGAAAAATATACTGGGCCTCAGTGTGGCTGCCAGGGTGTTTCCGGCTCCTTCAGTGCCCATGTGGCACTGGGTCCCCCAAGCTCTGGGCCAGGCTGGGCGGAGGATTCAGCTGGATGTTCTGGGCTCCAGGCAGAGCACCCCGGTACAGGTCTGCAAGAAAAATATACCGGGCCTCAGTGTGGCTGCCAGGGTGTTTCCGGCTCCTTCAGTGCCCATGTGGCACTGGGTCCCCCAAGCTCTGGGCCAGGCTGGGCGGAGGATTCAGCTGGATGTTCTGGGCTCCAGGCAGAGGCATAGCGAGTGGAGAGCAGGGGGAGCAGTTGCCCCAGGGTGCCATGCTAGGGAGACACCAGGCTGGGCTGCAGGGGTGTGGGGTGCTGGGCTCACCTGGGCTGTAGGAGGAGGGAGGTTTCAGGAACTGGGCACTGGACTCGAAGGAAGGGAGGGAGGGGCGGGCAGGGAATCAGAGCCGGGCTCAGCATGTCTGCGCAGTTTGCGGGGAGGTGCAGGGAAATGGAACTCAGCTGGGCTGTGAGAGTGAAGAGGTGCAGGCTCCTGGACTGAGCTGGGCTGGGCTGTGAGAGGAGTCTGTGGGACTTGGGGGGGAGGGGCAGGGAAACCAGGCTCAGCTGTGCTGTGGGGGAACCAGTGTGGGGTCAACTGGACTGAGGTGGATGGGGGAAGGCATAGGGAAAAGAAGGGCAGCTCAGCTGGGCTGTGAGGAGCTGCAGGGAACTGGTGCTGAGCTCCCTTGGATTGTGGGGAATGGTTTTGGGGGAGGTGCAGGGAACCAGCAGTGGTGGGCAGCTTAGTTGGGTTGCAGGGGAGGGGAGGAACCAGGAGCCCTGAAATGACCTCTCCTGGTCCAAAAATTCCCTCATCTGGGACCATTCAGGTACAGAAGGTGCCAGACCAGGGAGGTCCAATTCTACCCAAGTCCCCTCCTTGCACCCTCCCGCCTTGCCAGATACCCGATCCCAATCTGCTCCTGCTCCCACCTCTCGGAGTGCCCGTGTGGTGCCAGGTCCCCAAGCCCTGGCCTGGGCTGGGTGGAGGATGCAGCTGGGTGAAACAGTGAAAATTTATTCATTTTTCATTTTTTTAAATATGCATTTGTATTTCGGGGCTGCAAAAAGTGGTACTGAAAAAATGGGTTCCAACTAAAGTAAAAAGTTTGGGAAACCCTGGTCTAGCCAGCTCTCTATCCAACTTACAGTCCATTTATCCAAT